AGATTTTGTCTACACAGACTTAGCTTCCCACTTGTTTTTTTTGTTATTTAAATAATTTAAATTAGACAAGTCAGAGGCATCCTATATAAGATATAAGGAGTAATATTGCATGCAAAAAGGCAGTTAGATGGGCTAAACTAGTAAATGAGAGAGTGATGGCCAAAGAGAGCAATACCAATGCCAAACATTTGTTTTAAGTACATCCCTTAAGAAAAAAAAAAGTGCAGGCACACTGAACACAGATATGGGTGTGTTAGTTAAAGGGAAACTATAGTCACCAACTTTAGCTTAATGACGCTGTTTTGCTGTATAAATCATGCCCATTCAGTCTCACTGCTAAATTCTTGGGCATTTAGGAGTTAAATCACTTTGTTTATATAACCCTAGACATCCCCCCCCCCTGCATGTGACATGCACTGCTTTCCTAAACACCTGTAAAGAGTCAGCTAATGTTTAAACTTCCTTTTTTTTTTTTTTTAATTCTGTCTAACTTAGAATTTCTCATCTTCTGCTCTGTTAACAGATTGCTAGACCCAGCAGGAGCCTCTTGTACAGTTGCAAGAAAAAGTATGTGAACCCTTTGGAATGATATGGATTTCTGCACAAATTGGTCATAAAATGTGATCTGATCATCATCTAAGTCACAACAATAGACAATCACAGTCTGCTTAAACTAATAACACACAAATAATGAAATGTTGCCATGTTTTTATTGAACACACCATGTAAACATTCACAGTGCAGGTGGAAAAAGTATGTGAACCCCTAGACTAATGACATCTCCAAGAGCTAATTGGAGTGAGATGTCAGCCAACTGGAGTCCAATCAATGAGATGGGATTGGAGGTGTTGGTTACACCTGCCCTGCCCTATAAAAAACACACACCAGTTCTGGGTTTGCTTTTCACAAGAAGCATTGCCTGATGTGAATGATGCCTCGCACAAAAGAGTTCTCAGAAGACCTACAATTAAGAATTGTTGACTTGCATAAAGCTGGAAAAGGTTATAAAAGTATCTCCAAAAGCCTTGCTATTTATGACCAATATGTGCAGAAATCCATATCATTCCAAAGGGTTCACATACTTTTTCTTGCAACTGTATATGTGGATATTGAAGGGGCACATTTGAGACACAGCCTTTCCAGTTGTAACCAACACCTCCGATCTCCTCTCATTGATTAGACTCCAGTTGGCTGACATCTCACTCCAGTTAGCTCTTGGAGATGTCATTAGTCTAGGGGTTCACATACTTTTTCCACCTGCACTGTGAATGTTTACATGGTGTGTTCAATACAAACATGGCAACATTTCATTATTTGTGTGTTATTAGTTTAAGCAGACTGTGATTGTCTATTGTTGTGACTTAGATGATGATCAGATCACATTTTATGACCAATTGGTGCAGAAATCCATATCATTCCAAAAGGGTTCACATACTTTTTCTTGCAACTATATCTGACAAAGGTACATACAGGGGTATTGCTGTACTCAGATGACATAGCTGAGCAACCTATGATATATTATACAGCCGTAGCACACATAAGGTTTGCAAAATATACTGTGCAAACTCACTTTGTGCGTAAAAAAAAACCTTGACAGAAAAAAATACTTACCACTTCATTTGGTACATTCTAGCGGAAAGATTATCCCATGCTAAGGTTCAAAAGATGCATTTTGAAATACCCTGGGATTAGTGATGTCCCGAACAGTTCGCGAACGGTTCGCCTCGAACGGTTCGCCGCGGACTCATCATTGAGTAAACTTTGACCCTGTACCTCACAGTCAGCAGACACATTCCAGCCAATCAGCAGCAGACCCTCCCTCCCAGACCCTCCCACCTCCTGGACAGCTCACTAAGAATGCAGCTTCACAATGAATGTAAAATGGATGTTGTCCAGGAGGTGGGAGGGTCTGGGAGGGAGGGTCTGCTGCTGATTGGCTGGAATGTGTCTGCTGACTGTGAGGTACAGGGTCAAAGTTTACTCAATAATGAGTCAGCGGCGAACCGTTCATGGCGAACCGTTCAGCGAACCGTTCGGGACATCACTACCTGGGATGTCTTCTTTAAGAATTGGTATGTCTTTATGGTGTAGTTGGAATATATTGTCTGCTAAAGTGCTCCAAAATGGAACACGGACCCATCAACACCATCTATGAAAATTCACACTTAAAAACCTGAACTTGTCACGTCACTTTTACAGCACTGTAACGTCACAAAATAGTGTCTAGGTCATACACTGGGCATATTGTTTTACTCAGAAGATGTAACTGAGTATAATTTGGGGGATTTTATGACAGTGGTACATATCAAGTTTAAGAAATACTTAGCAAAAATGCAACATGTAAAAAATTCTAATTTTTTTCCCCTCACAACAAACTTTGACATACATTGGTGAGAAATGGTGACAAGTTAAGGCACAATGTACAACATATACAATACCCTAGAGTGTCTGCTTTTGCAAATGGAAGCACTTTGTGGGGTTATTTGAACATTCAAATAGCTATATAACGGAACCGCTGGCACCCCGACCGGGTACCTTCCGCCGACGGATGCTCCTAGTGCTTTCCGAGGACTCCAAGCACTCTGCCTGACACCATAACCACTGCAGACCCCACGAACCGCCGCAGCTTGGTTGGGATCTCGCCGTCTCCACCCACTCTGGACCCAGGACCAGGGTCCAGCTTCCAGCAGGTCGACCTCTCTCCGAATTCCAGAGAGCAGGAACAGGAACAAGCTCTTAGCAGAGCTTAGTGATTATACCCTGGGGAGTATAGTGATTATAGCAATCCCCAGAGTGTAGTTTCTCCAATCCCCCAAACATGAGCCGAAACTTCATGAAGGTACAAGATGATCTGTTTATTGGCACACAAGGAACCTTCTTTTATGCAGGGCCCCATGCAAGGGGACATCCCACTTGGTGGGACACAGTACAACCAATCACACAATGGTTACATCCCACACATCTCCTCCCCTTAGCCATACATTTTAAAACACACTTTTTACCCAACTTTCATAACTCTAAAACTATACATCACATTCACATAAAACTACATATTCACAATCAATCCATTCAGGGGAACAACATATTAAAAAATGGCCTGAATCAGACCAGGGGTTCAGAAGTTAGCACAAGTATCTTTTGGGGCCTGGCTGGCAGCATGGCTATCTGGCCCAAACTGGTTTCAGAGTCTTCTATTCTGGAGATAATTGAGAAGTAATGCAATTATCTCCAAGGACAGAGGAAAAACTCCATTAGCCACATGCCAGACAAAGGACAACAAAAGACATAAAAATACATACTGTTACATTTATCACATAGAACCTACACATTTCCAATTTACCGAGCACATAATAGTATATATAATATTGCAGACCGCCTGAATGCAATCTGCTACACAGTCTTAAAGGGACATTGTTCCTAAAAGTCATAATATGTCCAGGGATGGTTTTTAAAGGGCCAGCAGCAGCACCATACAAATCCAATATGCCCAAATATTGTACTTGAAGGGCCAAATAACCCAGGGCCATAGTCATGAGGGAAGAGGCTGGCAATCAGGCTCCTCCAACAGCCAGGGGAAAATCCGGTGACAAAAGGTGTTTCGTCACAAGCTATAATACCCCAATATGAGACATAGGTCCATCAAATCAATCTATGAAAATTCTTACTAAAGAAACTTAAATAACCCTGTCTCTTATATGGCACTGTAGCTTCACAGAATAGTGCCGAAGGCATACAATGGGGGTATTTTTGTACTCAACAGATGTGGCTAAACACAATATGGGTTCTGTACAGGAATAGCACACACCAGCTTTATGAAATACACATTAAAATAACCTTGTTATATGTGTAAATACCAAAATAGAAAATAAACACTATTTAGCAGAGATTGAAAATGAAATGGCTACGTAAAAAGTGTCAAAATAACCTTGGGTAAATAGCCTGTGATGTGTACTTTATATAACTATATACTTTTGTGTGGCAATTTTGTTTTTTGTGATGGCTACTAAAATTACAAGACAAACATACCAACTTCTAAAATTGTTTCACATTGAAATTTTATTTTAGACCTTTTATTTTGTGAAATGCAACTTTCAAAATTGGCTGAAATCCAACACATATTCCGTACTCTATGAATGAAGACACATTAATTAATTTATTTTGAATTACTTTTCCTAAGCTGGACATATTAAGCACATGTTATTTCATAATCTGTGGAAAACAATTTTTTTTACCAATGTTTTGGCATTTTTTTTATAATTAATGAGTGTATATATGTATATGTGACATCAAATTAAAGCCCTTTTTGTCCACTAAAAACTGTATATAATATGTATTGGTACAATAAATTAGAGAGATGCAAATTGCAGTTGAAAACAAACAGCAAAGAAATGCATAAATTGTTTGTATTAAGGGTAAGACAAGCTTCTGAAGCTGTGTCCTTAAGGGGTTAAAACTTGCACTTTTTTTTTTTTTTTTTTTAAAGAGTAGATGTGAATAGTTCTGGCTATGTGTTTGTATACCCATGAGTGTCTCTGGAATGTTGAAGTGTGTGTGTATGTGTGGGGGTTCAGTGACTGTGTTTGTAAGGTGCCATAAGTGTTATGATGGCAGCCCTGTAGGCACACACACACTGCACCCCTCACACAGTGCACCCCTCACACACACATACACACACACACTACACCCCTCAAACACATTGCACCCCCCTCATACACACACTGCACTCCTCATGCACACACACTGTGCCCCCCCACACACACTGCACACGTCATATACTGCACCCCCCTCACATCCTGCATCCCTCACAGATGCTCACATGTGTGTATTTAGCAGTCTGTGTGTGAGTATTCAGCAGTCTGTGTGTGTATTCAGCAATCTGTGTGTATCCAGCAGTATGTGTGTGTATGTGTGTTTTCAGACGTCTGTGTATATAAGCAGTAATCTATGTATGTATTCAGCAGTCTTTGTGTGTTCCTTATGTAAGAATATGAAATAGTTAACTTGTTCATATGTATTTTATGCTTTTATAAGGTTTATAAATATTATTGCTGACTGAAAGGATATGAAATAGTTAAACTCAATGTACGAAATAATATGCTGACTGTGACAGACTAAGGTATTTCTTCTATAGGATGTAAGACAATGCTAAATTTCAGGATGTCTTGCCCATTCCGATTTCAGGATACTTTTCCCCAGACGTATGCAAAAGCTTATCTTTCCATTGTCAGAATAACGTAATATAAGGAAGTAATACATCTTATAGTCTGTAATTAATGAATGGCATATACCATGGCTAATGTAAGCAAACTATGTATAAAAGCCAGCTCTGGAATACACTCATTTGAGAGTCTTGTCAACCATCCTGTTGTCCGTGTCTTATTGTTGACAATGATTCTCCATCAAATTGATTATGGTGACCGAGGGATCGAGGACCGAGGGGATTAGAGTCCATTACAGCATTAACCCTTTCACCTTATAGGTGTCATTGGGGGTCTCATGTTCAAGTTTCACCTAAGGTCTCAGAGTGTTTAGAGCTGTCTCTGCTTGCAAGGTATCTTTAAAAAGAAGTATCTTAAATCATCAAATCTACATTTTGCTTTGCCTCTCCTCTTCATTAAAATGTGTTTATATATGCTGTTTTATTCTCCCCTCTCCCCCACCCCGCCCTTTCACTTGTTTTGCTGGTTTATGTCAGAATTCTTGATTCAGGGCGATCAGATTAGAACAGAAGATTTAGCAGAATTCTCTTCAGTCACGCTGTAAAATTTCTCATTACTACTAAATCCTAGCAATGCGCTGAATTGTTCACAGAATTTAACCAGTTTCATTGTCACTAGATACACTTGATCACAGAATATAGGACATATTATTTTAATAAAACTAGATCTGAAATGTATTCTGAAATAAAAGGCAACGCCTGCAACATAGAACACTGTGAATATGCTTATTTTTAAGCTTGGAGTGATTGAACACATATATTGACAAGTGTTTACTGTGAAATACACTGCTGCTTTATAATCTAATAATAGTAGTAATTGTTATTCATCTTGATCTGTCTGTATCTGTGTATCTATAAAACCAAGCAGTAGAGAAACATTTAGTAAGAGGAAGATATACAGAACTAGAACCATTATATTGATGGAAAAGTCAATGCTTACATTTTAATTGAATGGAATACTGATGTAGATACGTTTTGTCCTTTGTTTTTCATTATTTACTAAGTCCCCCAGAGCTAACCTGGTGATCTATTTGCTATATTTTTTTAAATAATCAAGTTGAATTTAGGTTCATTCAGAGTATGCCAGAAATCTATGCAATGCATTGGCACGTTTAAAAAAACCAAAAAAAAAAGTTTAAAATTACTTCATTTGCACTATATTTTAAATGCATGAACATAACATATTTCTTATATATTTCTTAATCACATAAATACATTGGAAGGCCTATTAACCAATTACACTTAGAAATCTCTTCGCATCTGTGTTTAATCGCATTTCTTAGAGATTCTCTTAGTATAGTTTCAGGAATACAGACATGCGTTCATAACACTACAGCTTTAAAAGCACAGTTTAAGTGGCCTGGCCTCCTTGTCCTTATTTTAATAAGGTGGTTTTATTCACCTTTTCTCAGTGCAGCGGCACTCTTGTGGAGATGGCCCCAACCCCCCTCCACCTCCTTGGCTGAGATCATCACATTTGACAATGTTAGCCAGCCCAATGCTTTCTCATAGGAAAGCATCGGGAGGCTATATTGAATGCGCTGCAAAATTCCATCCTGTATCAATAAGCATCTTCTCATAGAGATGCACTGAATCAATGCATCTCTATGGGGAACATTCAATGTCTCTATGCAGAGCATGAATATGCTGAACGTCAGTGCTGCACTGTGCACACTGTGCAGCACTGACCCAGGAATCCCCTCTAGTGGCAGTCTGAGTGACTGCCACTCGAGGTTTTCCTAGGCTGTAATGTCACCACTGGCTTTTTTCTGAATGGGCAGGATTTACATTAAAAAGCCTGCAGGAACAGGTAATAGACACCAGAACAATTACATTAGGCTGTAGTTGTTTGGGTGACCATGGTGTCTCTTTAATATTTTCTCATTGAAAATTACATAGTTTCATAGGCTGAAGAGAGACTTGTGTCCACTTGTGTTTCTTACATATTTATTGCTGTTGACCAAAAAAAAAAAAAGGCTCCCTCCCCTCCGACCCCTGAGAATGGCAGTCAGATTTCTTCTTGGATCAAAAAGCTGTTACCCACATTGTGGCGAACAGAACCTCGCTACAGGCTTTTGGAGGGGCCTGCTTGCCAGCCTCCTGCCAAAAGACTATGGGCCAGGTCAGCGACTGTAAAGACCTATATTTTATCCCCCCTGGTTCAGCACTTTCCATAGAACCGAATGTTAGCTCACTGGCAGCCGTTCGCATGGACCAAAACCGCAAATAGACTTTGTGACGAGAGCAATCTCGCTACATTGCATTGGAGAAGCCTGGCTGCCCGCCTGCTGCCTTTGGACTATGGACCAGACTTTATGTAAATGTGTTAACCCAGATAGCTATGCCATGGAGCCCATTCGTGTAGTTAAAGACTTCGGCTCCATGGCAATTGAACTGTGTGAATAGGATCTGAGCGCTATTCGGTAGTTTTGTGCGCTCAGATCCCAGCTATCTGGGGATATGTGAAATGTCTGTGTGTTATGTGTAAAAGGTGACTTTATGTATTTTAAAGTGTTTTATGTCTTTTTGCAACCATGTGCTCAATGGAGTCTGCCTCTATCCCTGGATAATTGGATTACTTTCCCCATTGTCTCCAGAATAGAGGGCTCTGTAAAACCTGTTTGAGCCAGATATCCATGTGCCAGCCAGGGCCCAAAATATACTTTTACTAACTTTTGAACCCCTGGTCTGATTCATGCCATTTTTTAATATGTTGTTCCCCTGAATGGATTGATTGTGAATATGTAATTTTATGTGAATGTGATGTATGGTTTTAGAGTTATGAAAGTTGGGTAGAAAGTATGTTTTAGCTGTATGTGTAATTGAGTTTCCTCTCAGGATAAGGGGAGGGAGTATGTGGGATGTAACTGATATGTGATTGGTTGTTTTATACCTCCCTGTGGGCGGTCCTGTATTTGAAAAGACTGTAATAAAAACCAGGCTGGGTGTGCCAGCACCTCAGACCACTGCTTGACCCCCAACACGGAGCCTTGTCTTCTTGGGGGGATTCACTGTATGCTGTTAGAGACTGATTGCCAGGAGTGTAAGCTGATTGTCTGCTTTTCCTGTTCGTCTGCTAGCAGCTATTTGGGAGGTTCCAGTTCGGGAGTTGGAGTGCTACTTGGTATCCTGTTCGGGAGTTTGGTGTTCTGCAGTAGCTGTGCCTGTATCTCTGGAAAGGGGGACGATCGCCTAAACGGTTTTTACCCCTTGTGTGCAAAATGGTCCGTTACAGACTTCATCAACATTGTTGCAAAGGGTAATTGAAGGCACACTTCACACAGGGAAGGTCTGACTGTTCGGTAGTTTCATTCCCTTAGTTGCCAGAATGATTCTACCGAACAATCAGACGAATTCAAGTTATTTATACACATATAATCCTGCAATTTACATGAATACATTCAAACATATGCAATTTCCAGGACAGCCCAGTGTCATCCGCTACAGTCCTCCAAAGGCACTTAGCTGCGATTCTATGGAACTGTTTTTGGCAGGAAGACTTTGCGGTTCTTGGTCGGTGCCAAGCTGCACTTAGCCGCAATTCTATGGAACTGTTTTGGGCATGGGATCATGCACGCGGACAGCCAAAACTATGACTTCCAGGAAATTTCTGAACCCCTGAACCGATCTGGGTGATTTTTGGATATGTTGTTCACCCAGATCTGGGCTCTCAGGGGATGTGGGGGTTTTGTATGTTTTACATGTATTTGGTTTTTTTTATTAAAAATTGTGTTTTTGTGTCTGATAATGGAGTTAATACAGTACTTGACTCAATTATCTCCCAGGTACAGAGGAGGGATTTACCTAGGTTTTATGGGGGTGTTCTGGATCTGAGAGCCAATGTGATTGTGTATTTGTTTCTACTGTGGTTTACTCTCAGGTCCAGGGGGGAGTGCCCCTTGCATGGGGACTGTCATAAAAGGCCAAGTGTGGTCCAATTAAAGTCTGTTCACTTCACCCTCAACACACAGCCTCGTCTGGTGATTGTAGGAAACAGCTATACCAGCTATACCAGCTTCGGATTGCTATACTGGCTATATTCACTAGCTTTTGTAAGAGCTACACAGCTATACCTGCTAGACTATCTGGAGTAGGAGAGGTCCACCAACTGGAAGCTGGATCCTGGGCTTGGGTCCAGGGTAGGTGGAGGACAGTGAGACCCCAGACAAGCTGCAGTGCTTATAGTACTCCAGGCTACTAGGAAGCAGCGATTGGCGGAGGCACCCAGGGGGCTTGACAATAGGTCCCCCCCTTATTCTAACTTAGGGTCCCCACCCGCCGCTCAGGGGTGGGGTCAGGGGGAGCACAATAGGTCCCCCTCCATTATTTTACTTTAGGGCCCCCACCCACCGCTCAGGGGTGGGGGCTGGAGTGGGAGGACAATAGGTCCCTCCCTTATTCTTCTTTAGGGCCCCCACCTGCTGCTCAGGGGTGAGGGCCGGGGGGAGGACAATAGGTCCCCCCCAATTCTTCTTTAAGGCCCCAGCCGCCGCTCAGGGGTGGGGGCCGAGGAGGGGACAATAGGTTCCCCCTCCCTTATTTTACTTTAGGCTCCCCACCTGCCCACTCAGGGGTGGGGGCCAGGGGAAGGACAATAGGTCCCCTCCCCTTATTTTACTTTAGCGGCCCCACCTGCTGTTTAGGGGTGGGGGCCGGGGGGGAGAGGGTACATTTTTTTTTTTTGTTTTTTTACAGTGAGCAGCCACAGGCTGCTCACTGTTTACTAGACATGCCCTAACTCGCGGTATAGCGAGTAGGAGCATAATTTACTAATACTAAGTAACCTTTACTTAGTATTAGTAAATGTGGCTGAAGGACCAATGTAGGTCTTTCAGCCTTTTAGTAGATAGCTTCCTAATACCGTGGGAATTAGGGAGTTATCTACTTATTCATTCCTGTCATTACATTGACTGGCCAAGTAACTTACATTTTATATGAATGTGTGTTACTTGATTGTTGTAAGTGTTGCAAATGCTTACAGCTGAATCCTGGCTTTGTTTGTCTACTTTTTATTTAA